TATATATATATATATCGGTACGGTATCGTTATTTCGATATTATTTTTTTAAATATCAAATATCATACCTAATACCAATATATTTTAAAAACTTAAACCAAATACCGCTATACTGAATACCATATACCAAAATTTTCGGTTTCGGAAAGGAAGTGAGGGCACTCATACGAATCGAATATCTGAAATTACTATAACTACTAGTACGGTAATTCAGTATTTCCCATATTATTCACAACCCTACTTGGACAAAATGATTTTCTAATGTATTTTACGCAAAACCAGCATTTTTTATAAGATAAACTTGTAAATGTTGAATTAACCGAACGTTTTTCAACGCAAAAGATGGCAGCTAAAGCCTCCTCAGTGAAAACACAACAAACATCTGTTCCTAAACGCTTCTGTTAGAGACTCAATTTTTAAACATTAATCTAGTAAGCAGTTTCAACGTTTGAGAGCCAACATGAGAGGAGACGGCATTATTGACCTGAGAAAGAAAAATAGTAACATTTCTTTATGATCCTGACAAAATGTCTTGAGACAGAATGTGTTGTATCTATTCCAATACACTAGTACAATCGAAGAAAAACGAAGTTCAGCTGTTTTCCTTTCTGTTGGAAGTAGCCATAAATAAAGCAACAGTTCTGTCTAGTTTTTGTATAAAAAGACGGGGGGAAAAGTGAGCTGCTGCGGTATGCCCCCTATCCTTGGGGTCTTCATGAATGGAGATGACAAAATCCAGCAAAATTTTAGTCATGATCTTTCAGTACAATAATATACCATCCAGCAGGCCGTGATAGCTGTATTGCCAATAAAATGAAGTTGCTGAACACCAGCCGGATCCAAATCTCTGTCGTTCAAAACTGATACAACTAAGAACTAATTGCGCTTCTTTTCTAAATTTGCTGCAAGACGACGTTGCCTTTGCTTCCAGGCAGGCATCTTACCAGGGAAAGCCCACCTCAATGACTTCTCCCAGGCATAGCAGACCAAAAATGTCAGGAATGCCCAAAGCAGCAGCTTATCTCTCAAACCTCTTGGCATAGGAACTAACTTCAACCAGTCATTTAAGTCCCTAAACAAATCAGAGGTGATAGCTGTGAAGAAGCCCACAGCAGCCAAAAGGGCGTATAAGAATGGCTTGTTTTCGGGTATGCTTTGGTTGAAGGGGTGGCCCATGTAGTTCACAGCAAAGGTTGCTACCTGTAGCATCAACCCCACCATGTATGAAACTGTATTGACAAGGTTTGGATGAAAATTGGAGTCTGGCTCAATGCACTCATCAGGCATGTACTTGCTAGCCTCGTTAACAGAAGAAATTAAGAAAAGCAGATGGATAGCAAATTGTCCCAGGAGGGAGAGCAAGACGTAGGCGCAGAAAATATTGGGATGAGGTCGTTCGGCTGAGAGGGTTGGAAGGGGCCGAGCATGTGAGATAAATAGAAAGAAGGCTGCTGTGAAGACCCCACTGATTGTAGCCTGAACATCACCTAACTTGACACCATCTAAGTACATTACACTCAGGACATAGGCAGTAGCAAGGCAGTTAAGTCCAAGAATCTTAAACATCTGCAGAGTGGTTACTAGGGTACTACGACCTTGACGGATGATGTCAGTGGTAGGGCACACTGAAGCATGCTTTGCAGTGAATGGCGATGCCATCGAGGCATCCCCAAGTTTCACAATTGGTGCCTGACCATCACCTCCTCCCTCATTAAGCTCATCCATAAGTTTCTTGAGCTTCTGCTTCTGCATCTCTGCAGGTGTAAGATGGCGATTAGTGGCTTGGCTGCTGGTAGCTCTACTTTTTGAAGTGCCTTCTCCATTTTCTGTAGCAGGTTTAAGTTTCTTCGCCTTGGCAGGTTTTGTAGTATCATTCTTAGACGATCCATCAGATGATTTTTCTTTCTTAGGGGGAGGTATTGCATTAAGAAGAGCTACTCCCACATGTGCCTGAAAGAAGCAAATCCCACGAGTCTCAAAATATCGGAAAAAGTATTCACACAAAAAAAAGGAGGAAGAAGGATATTGCAATAAAGAAAAACCATAAAGCAGGCCAAACAGCAATGCTTAAAAAAAGTGCAATAAACTGCATCTCCTTCTTAGTATAACTTATGTTGGGACAGTGAAGATTGACGGAAGAAGCATAATACAGTACAGCAAAACCACAAAGCAGGCAAGAAGCAATGCCTAAAAAAAGTGCAGTAAACAGCATCTCCTTCCTAGTATAGCTTAAGTCGGACAGTGAAGATTTCTAGTTAAACCCCTTCAGATGAGATGCAAGGGACAGAAAGTGAGGGGAAAAGAGGGGCAGAGAGGAGAGCTCAGACCATAGACAGTACCTGCTCACACAAAATACCATCATTACAAAGGAATTAACAGCAAATGCACTTATAAACTACACATGATCAATCTTTTATTTATGTATCACGAAGTAGCTAGGCTATGGCAGATCACACCTTTTATAACATGGGCAGACGAACACTTCATTTTTCTAGATGTGCTCATGTCAAACAAGTGTTACATTAAGTATGGGTACTCCATGTGGATCTTTCAAGATACACAAAACTTGCTGAAAAACTTGGATGCACACCTAAAGGATAATTACCAACACCATACCAGCTTGTACCTAAGCATAAGATAAATGGGGCTCTTTTCCTGCCATGGATCAAGGTGCTAAAGTAGCCTCCAATATGTTTAAATTTTTCATTTTCTGAAGAGTCTAACAGAATTTCCACAGGTTACTGCACCCATTTGAAAACAACAACAACAACCCAGTATAATCCCACTAGTGGGGTCTGGGAAGGGTAGTTNTCCAAGAACTCCCCACCTTGCTCTTGGGGTGACTCGAACTCACAACCTCTTGGTTGGAAGTGGAGGGTGCTCACCACTAGAGCAACCCACTCGTGTCAACCCATTTGAAAACAAAAACAAATTTATTAAAGTAAAAACGATGTAATACCTGCTTTAGAGCTCCAACATCATTAGTCCCATCACCACACATCAACGTCATCCTTCCCACTGACTTAAAGGTGGTTAATATAAGTTCTTTTTGCTCAGGGGCAACTCTTGCAAATACCTGGGTAAAGTGATACCTTTGTCAGGATGCGAGAGAGAGAAAGAGAGAGTGTGTGTGTTTTAGAGAGCGATCAATCACATATTTCCAACCTTCACATAAGGAACAACTTTGGGGACAGCAGATGTCTGCTGCAACATCTCAATGCACTCGCCTCCAATACAGAGATCGTAAGCTTCTGATAAAGCTTCAACTTCATTCTCACTACAAATTTATATGACAAGATTATGAAAAGCTGAAAAAGAATATGATTGAGCAATGTTTTGTTTATGGCACAGAAAACCTCAGTAACTCATCTTAATCTATGTAGAATTTAGTACTAAGCACAGACGGGTAAAAAAATACAATCAGGTCACCTATAAGGTAAACATGAATTAGTAATGTGGTCAAAATAGTAACTTACCTGCTATAAATGGTTAGACTACAAAGATTGTGTAAAAAATCTTTACAATTTCAGAGTAAAAAGTTAAATCCATTTACATGAAGAATATAACTCAATATATTTACTACTCTGGCAAATCCATTTTGTTATTTTTTTTCTTTTTTTTTAAGCTATTTCTTCAATAGAAGGAAACGCAAAATAATGTTTGAGATCAATAATGCAGATTTCCAATCTTGTTAGTACGGCAACAAAGAATATAAAGCAATTGTGGACGGCTCTAACCGGCAAAATCTTCAACAAATATAAATTACAGGTTAAACTGTATAAAAGCAGAGTGCAATACTGCATCAAACAGTCGTTTTCTACCTGTAGCTGACTATCTCTGTCTCATCAGGAGAAACCCAGTCATATCCTTGTTTGTTTTTTGTACGTCCCAGAATCAGTGCTGGTTTTGAGATAATGTGTACTTGTTGAGCCACGTGGCAAGCTGTCAAAGCTTGATCACCAGTAATCATGACCTATCAAACCAAGGTTATAGATGAGTACTTGAAGCATGAAAGTGATAAGACCACATATCTAAATAAACATCAAATTGTATAGTCTAATGTCTGTTATGTGTCTTTCGCAATACTTCGAACCTTATTCGAGAGCTTTGACTTTTTTATGAACAACTCTATTCAATATGAGCTACTTGAGACATCTGCATCATGGTTGATATTTTTTTAACGTGGGATGTTCTTGTGATACACGATCTTCATTTGCTGATAGTTTTTGTGTTTATATATCCCATTGATACACAATGAGACTCCCACTTTCCCTAATTATATGACACTCTTTCCTTTTTGGGACATTTCAAGATATTAAATTTTTTGCATTTTAAAACAACTTTAACAACTTTTAAGAATTCACCTTATTGAGTTATTCTAATTTATAATTTGATGTGATGATTTCTCTATCAAACTAATTTTTAAACCATTTAAAAATTTCTTCCACTATCACTAATATAATACTTAAATCAAATTAACATTAAACTATGTTCATTCAAACGACATTATATAAAATCGACCAAAGAGAGTAATATCTGAGTTTTGCCTCATTCTTTACTCAAGTACAAATCATAATTAAACCACAACATTGAACCTACTTATTTTAGTATGAATTGACAAATAACATAACAAACCCCTTATCTTGCTATGACTATAAAGCGCCACTTAAATACTCATGTTAACAAAAAGACGTCCTTAAACTTCTTGCTATGACTATAAAGAGCCTCTTAAATACTCATGTTAACAAAAAGACGTCCTTAAACTTTCTAAACTAAACAACTTTCATCCTAACCCAACATCTGTCAAAAAACCAAGCACCTGTTCCTGTTACATCAAAAGTGAATTCCTAGCAACTGGCACCAGAATATTGGGGATGGAGAACAGAGAGAAGATCTTCCAGAGAAAGCGCGAAGCTTACTGCATGTCTCCTTGGACTGTTTCACGGCACCAAACGCATTGTTCTCCCATAATACTACCATCCCAAGGAGAACCGCAGCTCTTCCTTCAATTGTGACATTCCCCACTATTTATTCCTCGTCATTAGATGCTCACTTATTGGAAAGTTTGGATTTCGAAGTGTGAAAATAGTATTTTGGTTATATTTACAATCCGCAACGATTTGATTGTTTACCCCTTTGTTTCATTAAAGGCTAGAATTGCTGCCATCTCAAAAACCATTTAAAGTTAGAATCAGGAATTTTTTAAGAAATGTAGTTCCTTCACTCTCTGAAGAAATAGGTACAAGGAGAACCTTCCAGATTTTGCAGGGAAGAAAGACGTATCAATTTCTGCATTTTCAAAAATGGCTATCAGCAAGAGAACAAGAGTCATGAAGCCACTTGAGGACATTCAGTTCTACCCAACTTCAACGAAGTCTATACTTGCTTATGGAAACATATTCCTGTTGTTTTTTCCTTCCCTTTTTTTTTT